GGGAAGGAGGGACAATCTCCTCCTGTACCAGTCAGATCTGATTTGATGGTACACACAAATAATAAAAAAAAATAATAATAATGTGGATCTGACTATGTATGTAGATTAGGTCCCAAGTTATCCAAAAATAAAGGCTGCAAGAATAGCCGCCAAGTGTTTGGACAGATAGGAGTCATACCATTATACCTAGACTTATTTATTATTATTGCATTATTGCACATAAGACTGTGCAAAGGTGAGAAACTCTGAAGCTGAAATTGTTTCCTTCAGGGGTTAAAGTCAAGCCTTAAGTAATTAACTACTGAGTCATACCTCTGGCAGGTTTGTAGAGCGTCCTTCATGGCGGATATGCCTTTCTGGATGTCCTGCTGCTCAAAGGTCATGATGGCCTGCAAAACTACAATGGTGCTGTAGCCCAGGGCATGGTACATGCTCTCCTTTGCCCTGGAGAACAGATGGAGTTACTGGAGTCATCACACACACACACACACACACACACCCCCTTTTGTGATTCACAAGAAACCTTAGCAAATACACATTGTGACTTTGGAGGTAATAACACTTATCCATTAAGCATAATCCCTGAAATGATAAGAACTCTAAAAGCTAAATGCTAAAACTCAAGCACTGAAGCTTTTCCAGTTGAAACCCACACAAGCAGAACAAAATGTTCCCAATTGAAACCAAAATAGACATGCTTTTCCTTGTTCTAACACAAGGGGGCAATGTGTGGCCTCATTTCCTAGAACAGGATTTCAAGCAAACCAGTTTTTTCCCAGATGGTCACCTTCTCTTACTGAACAAAGGGGCTGTTGCGTTGTCTTTGGCTCTAAACAAGAGCGAAGACAAAGGCCACTGCAAATGTATTTTACAACAGCATCTGACATGGAAATTCCGATATGCTTTCTGAAAAAATAGACTTGATTAAAATTGCCACTTCCTCTCTGCTGCACAAATTTAGGAGGAAGCAGATTTCTGCAGTAAATCAAATCTACCAGAGGGTCTTGCAAAGTAGACAAGAGACCTCATAGCTAGTCTCTAAACACTAAGAACTGAATTACCCTTGACTCCTGATTTAAGATTATAAGCATTTAAATTACTAACCTAGCAATGACAATGGCTTCCATTTAATCTCAGATACTCAAACTATGAAAATTTTACAACTTCTTATCTCAAAGCTCAAGTTCTGTTCACTGATTACTTATAAGTTTCAAGATATTGATACATGACTTTGTTTTTCATTAAACTATCCATGCATAGCCTATTGTCATTCAAAACAAATCCCAGTAACATTATTCTTCTCCCCCAACAAAAGAGTACAAACACAGTTGGGTAATTTGCAGATTCTCCTGAAGAGTGAGGGCTCTTGTACTGCCTGTTCAAATGAACCATAAGGAAAATAAGCAGTCCAAGGTTAATCATTAACTATGGCTTCAATCACCTGAAAACTCCTCCAAGAAGAAAATAATCAAGTAGAAAAAAGAAAAAAACCTTTTTCAATTGGAAGTTCTTCCAGTAGAAAGAAAAGATGTTCTAAACTGTGAAATGTGCATAAAGATGAAACTATAAAAAATCCAACTAAATATAATACTAGTGATTCCTTTCCTTTTTTATATTATGACCAGCTGGGAATCAGTGTCTCCCCCACCCCCCAAAAAAGACAGACAATAAGAAAGGAAGCATGCAAACAAGTAGAAGGGACAAAATCAAAGTCTGAGGGAGGAAAAGACAAGGAAGTTCTGGAAACTGGGAGCGGAGGGAAAGAGCAGGAGACAGGTAAGGTACAGGCAGTGGACTGTGTGGGAAAGAATGCTAAAAAAAAAACACAAACTGCAATCCCAGAGGTGCGTGGTTCGAATCCACCAGATGCTCTGCTGGAGAAGGAGGGAAACTCTCCTGTACCTGTCAGATCCGATTTGACGGTACGCACACAAAATAATAAAATAAATTTTAAAAACTGATTAAAAAAAAAAGAAATCACACAATCTTCTTAGGCTATGAGCTAGTTCATCATCATTTTAATATTGGGATCAGCATCTTCTAGATAGATAAGTTTCCATTTCAAAAAGTTTCAAGGAAATTATTTTTTCAAATATAATTTTGCTTATAAGAGGAACATCCACAAAAACGATCTACTAAGAAGGTGCATGAATTACGTAAAATGTTAATATTGAACACATAAATATGGTAAACTGAAATACATAAAATCAGAAAAATTTAGGCTGATCGAATGTAAATAATAAGATTGTTTAACTAAATATTAAAACTGGCCCCAAATCATAAATTAACATACAAATAAGAAAATAATCAGAAACACATGTAAAAATATTTTTTGTCTAAAGGAAGTAATGTTAATTACCATGGACGAAGTAATTCTAAGGCATCTGAAAACCTGTTACTTAGAAATAAATTCAATGCCTCTGCACATTCTTCAAGGCCACCTTTGAGACCAACTGAAGACGATGACGACCTAAAGATCAAGAAGAAAAAAAACACCCAAACATTAACATTTCTACTGCTTTTACTGCCAGCGAGTTGTGACATCAAGGGGGAGTCTAAGTGTGAGAGTGGGGGTGTGTGTGGAGTGTGTGTGTGTGCGTGTGTACAGGCTGAAATTCAAAATCTGCTGTTACTAACTGTGTTTCTAACCTCCAAGCCTCAAATTTTTTATCTGTCAAGTATGAATGCCACTGTGTGGCCAAAAGGTAAGAAGCTGTGCTGCAATCCCAAACGCCCACAGTTCAAATCCACCAGCTGCTCCTCTGAAGAAGGATGGACAATTTTCTCTCACACAATTTACTGCCTCTGAAAACTCACTGCAGAGTCGGCTGTTGGTCGGTTCTGATTCAATGGCACACAACAACAACAAGACATTCCAAAGTAATGAGGACAGAATTAAGTTGACAGATCATCTCGTACTCATTCATTCATTGCCACGGAGTCGGAACCAAGTCCTAGCTGACCCGGCAGCAGGTTTCCAATGCTGTGAACTGCGTGGGAGGACTCATCCTCCTGTAGAGTTTTTGATGCTCCAAACCTCCAGAGAGAGGTACAGTCGTTAGCAGAGCAACTCCCGACAGACTCCGCGGGACGGGTTTTGTTGTTATGTGCCATCAGGTCAACTATAACTCATAGTGACCCTGTGGACAGCAGATACCAATCCTGCCCTATCCTGTGCCATCCTCACCACCTCCAACATCCTCAAACCCATTGTCACAGTCGCCAGGTCAATTCCCCTTCTTGCGGTTTAGGCACTAAATAAACGGACAGCCATCCCCCCTTCCATCAATGCCAAGACAGTATGTACACAAACTACACTTAGTCTTGAAGGAGCTGGTGTAATGATTTTATTTTGGTTTGGTTAAGTTCTTTATAAAGGTGAAAATGTTGGTCTTCAGTACAAAATTGCATTTTTCAGGTTCCAGAAAAACCTCTAAGTTATTTGATTCCAACTTGTACAGCAGCTATCTTATGACTCTGTTAACTGTAGACGACTCACAGCAATGCTTAATAACTACTGTGTACAAATGCAAAAGGTGCTCTTTCCAGTAGAAGTACCACTGACTTCTTCCCACTATTATTACAAAAGCTAGTTCAGGTTCCATTTGTATATTCATTTCAATATTGAAAAGCTTGACCTGCGTGACTTCTCCTTTGAACAAGTTATAACACATACTCCATCTCCCAACTGATTACTGAGCCAGTGCTATCTTTAACTTGACATTTTTATAACCACAGTCATGGTTTTGTCTTTAGAAAAAATTATTTAACATTAATGGTATAAAATCTACTCTTCAAAACTCTAGTCATCTCTAAAATGTCTGTTTTGTTTACATCTTGTAATGGGAAAGTATTTAGGAAGTAAGCAAAGCAAAGCCCAAAACTCACTGTAGTGGCATCCGTTCTGACCTACAGCAGCTCTGTGTCAGCGTTCTGGGCTGCAAATTTTTATTGGAGAAGACTGCCCACCTGCGCACCTTTCTCCTGCAGAGCAGTTAGTGCTTTCAAACTGCTGACCTCCTCATGCCTGATACAGTAGAATTTGATGAACAGAAGACTCTGGAGACAGGCTAACTTCAAACAGGTTAACCAGTAAGATTGTATCAGATTGGGATAGGTACCCTGAGATAGAGCCTGGCTGGGGGGTAGGGATAAGGCACAACATTAATGATAATGGTCATGGAAGACTCCAAAAAGATGGCCTCCAAGTCCTAGCAAAGCACGCTACCAGTCACAGGATGATCCAGGTGAGGGAGAGGTTCGGTGCCAGGAATACGATCATCTAGGCACAGTGGGAGGAAATGCGGACAATAGGCAGGCATGAGCCAGAAATCTAAGTGCCAAGAAGCATGAGTGGTAGCCTAAGAACAAACAAAACACAATAGCTCAGAATTTTCCCATTCACTTTCTAATCACCCCTCTCCTAAATCTACTAAGTTTTCAGTTTCACCTCTCACCTGTTCTGGTAACTTGAACTTCTATCCATTCTAAGGCAGGACTTAACCTTTCACGACCAGGAAAAGGGCTGAGAACAGATACTTATGCCCTTGCCAACCAACCAAACCACCTCTGCAGCTCAGCTTGGTAATTAATTTCTGACTCAACAGGCCTGGGATGGACACACAAAGAGTACCTTACAACAAATTCCCAGATGACATAATGAGACTTTCAATCATCCTGGATACTTCTTTCAAAAATACTGTTCCTCCACCAGATGCTCTGCTGGAGAAGGAGGGACAATCTTCTCCTGTACCAGTCAGATCCCATTTGATGGTACACACACAAATAGTAAAATTAAAAAACAAACAAACAAAAAATACTGTTCCTAAGATAGATGTTCTCCTTACCACTTCTATGTTCTTATGTGCTGTCAAGTTGGAATCAACTCGGAGCTGACCCTCCAACCAGTATTCAGAGACTGTAAACTGCCTGGGAAACTACCCACCTTTCTCCGTCAGACCAGCTGGTGGGTCCAAGCCACCTGCCTTTGCAGTGACAGTGCAATTCCTTACCACTAAGCAACTAGTTTATTTGGTGGCATCTAACAATAGCACCAGCAAGCCGACAGAGCTCCCTCGAGAACCGACAGTGGCTGGATACTGCCCATCACATGAAATTAAGATTAAAATTGTTCCACCTCGCTGCAAAGCCACCAGGTAACTACTTCTACCACACCTGTACACACTTGTACCACACCTGTACACCTGAGCAAGGATACCAAGAAACTGAGTGTCATCAAAATGGCATTTTCGTCAAGCCAGGTATGATGTAATGAAGACTTCTGGCCTGGGAGTTAGAAGTCAGCACTGCTATCCACTAGCCATGTGATTTCCCTCAAGTCTCAATCCCTCAGGCCTTCTGCTCACCTCTGAGGCAGGTAACCAGTTCCCGCCCTTCCACCTCACAGTGAGTGCAGGGAGGACAAAAGCAGTAACTGCTATCTA